ATGTTGTCCATCTCTCTCAGATGTTACTTTATAGGATTGTTTGACTTAAGTTTGCAGGTATTGAACTTAATCGTTAACCTCTTAAGTTTAGTAGTAAAAGTACCACCAAACTTATCCTTCAATGCTATCCACATAGCTTGTGCAGTTTTATGCCTCTCAAATTCACATATTATGTTATCAGCCATTGTACTCATAAGCGTGATTCTTGCTATGCTATTTTTCTTCTTCCAAACTTGGTAAGCCTCTTGGTCTCTCTTATGTTGGGTCATATTCCTAACCTTAGGTTCAACTATTACAGTGGTTAAAGGTTCAACAGCATCTTGTTCCTCCAAGATATATTGGACTTTTTGGTGCCATATATCCTAGTTATCCCCGTTAAGCTTTTCCCCTTTATTAAGCTCAATAATTACATTCTTGGTTGCCATTTTCAATTCTGTGACAAATTTATCCCACATTATTCTACATTCTCTCTAAGAGAGAGACGTACCATAGAATATTTCAGTTATATAACACAGCAAAGTATACAATGTCATGTACTTATATTGGTCTTGATCAGAAAATAATACACTGCAAGATCCATGATCAAGGGCATATGTTTGTATCTTCCATTAGGGGTGGAAATAGGCCAGGCGGCATGTCAGGGGTTTGTGGCCTAGCCTATTTAGATATCAGAACATGCTCAAGCCTGAAAAAAGGCCTGTTTACTTTATCAGGCCGAGCTCAAGCTTGATAATAAGCCTGTTAGGCCTGTCAGGTAGCCTGGGCCTGTTATCTTTTTTTTTTCCTTTTTGAGATTAAATTCTAAATAGACAAGTATTGAAATTTAACTAATTGCCCACTACCTTACTCCTGGTCAGGAAGGTGGCTTCTTCTTATCTACCTATAGTTGTTATTTTAATCAAAATTAAAAACTATCAGCGTTCAGGGAGCATGAATACATAGGGGGATATATATGAGTGATCAAAGTGCTATTAATTATGCATATATACTAATATATAGTAATTCTACTTATTAATTACCTGAGGACCAAAAGAGTCTCTAACTACCCAAGCTTCTGCCTTCTGCACTAGTTTTTTAATTTGTTTTTCATATCAACTTTTTAATTTGTTTTTCATTTGTCAAGCCACCTTGCCCTTTCTCAAGCAATAAGTATGGTTTGAAGAGGAAACCAAATGTACAAATTTTGAATTCTAAAAATAATACCATTTCTTATATTTATTAGTTATTAAATTTTGTTATGATCTAATTAATACATATTTGTATTTATTAGTTATTAGCAAAAATAAATTGTGTTAATTTGATAATTTCATATTTTCTATTTGAATTTCAAACAAATTGGGTTGAATTATTGTAATTTTGAATAGATTTATGTGTGTTTGAAATTTGTTAAAAAAACAGGCCCCTCAACAAGCCACAGGCCAAGCCAGGCCAGATTACAGGCCAGGCTTAGGCCAACAGGCCTCACTACAAGCCGAGCCTGTTAAGGGTGAGGCCTGGCCTAGTTTGGCCTTTTTCCACCCATATCTCCCATCACACAGATACAAGCAATAATCATTATGCTCTATCAAGAATTTTATACAAGTACTTCTGTGACTCTTAGAAGTCTCGTCTCCTAAAAGCTCCCACTTATAAAAAGTATACAAACATTATTCACAAATAATCATATAACAATAATTTAAGTAATTTCATTAAATGAAGTAACACACTTAGTTTGTTTACAATGCATGAAAACTGAAAACTTAAATAATAATAAAACATTAATAAAGTGAATACAAATATTATATCATTTGATATGAATATAAAGATAATCAAGCATTGCTTTCCTCAGTTTCCTAAGTTTGCGTGTTTTGGTCATAAATGAGGATACTAAATCTATAGCCCAAATCCAGTAAAACTTCCTTATGGGTTTTCCTTTAGGTTCGCCTATAACCCTTATTGCTCTTATGTATTCTGTTATGACTTTAAGGTAGAATTCGGTATTCTTCTCATCGGTTATGTATTGGACATAACTAGCGAGCACGCCATTGATGCCTTTTATGTTTGTCAGTTTGGCCGCATCTCTTTTAGCTATACTCATAGCTAAAGTAGGGGTACAGGGTTGATTTACCTCTTCTCCTTCCTCAACTTCGGTTTGATCGGGAAGACCAAGTGAATCATTAAAGACCAAGTGAGGTTTGGCACGGAGGGGTTTAATGGGGAATAAAGTTTTTGACTCAGGTCCAGAATCTATTAACTCCTTCGAGTCTTCTTGAGGAACCTCTTCAGCGTCCTCCTCAAGATCCTCATCCTCAGGTTCATATTTTGAAACTCCATCATCCATGTATGAGTATTCCAATGAACTATGTTTGATATTTTCAGTGCTACCAGAAGCCTCTTGCTTCATTTTCACCTAAAACAAAATAATATAAATTATTTTGAATATTCTGAAATTTTTATCTGCATAAAAATACCAGAAAATGCACTAAAAATACTCACAAACGAATCCTTAATTGTCGCAAAAATTAGCAAATTATATATTAAAATGAAGATCTTGATTTTAGGGATTTTTAGATACAAACCGCACCTCAAACGGAGGTCCCACACATCTACACACGTCCCTAGGAGAATAAATTATGTGAAAATAAAAAAATTTTTTAAGTCCCACTCACGTGGTCGGCGCATGAAATACACGAGCCGCCATGCAGCCCGTCGCCGACAACATGCGTTGTGCTGGTGGCCTTTATGCGCCACTACCTCTCAGGTGGTAGTGCCCACGTGTCCAACAGGCGTGCCACGTGGCTACTCTAGGCCAAAAATTTTTTTTTTTTAGTAATTAAACATTTTTTTGCACTAGACTAGATTGGGCTCAGACCAACCCGATCCAGTGGCCAGACCTATGGATCCCTTTTTTTGGGGACTGGACTTGTTTTTTTTTGATAGAAAACCCTTTTTTTTGTTTAAAAGGATTTGGACCGGTTGGGCTTAGTCCAGTTTGGCCCAACCAGTTCCCTCCACCCTTTCTTTTTTAAAAAAATTTTGGGCTAGATCCTACGATCAGGCCCAGTTCAGTCTCCCTCTTTTATTTTGGACTGGACTAGGTTGGGCCCTGGAGGTTGTTTTCAACACTAGACTAGATTGGGCTCAGACCAACCCGATCCAGTGGCCAGACCTATGGATCCCTTTTTTTTGGGGACTGGACTTGTTTTTTTGATAGAAAACCCTTTTTTTTGTTTAAAAGGATTTGGACCGGTTGGGCTTAGTCCAGTTTGGCCCAACCAGTTCCCTCCACCCTTTTCTTTTTAAAAAAATTTTGGGCTAGATCCTACGATCAGGCCCAGTTCAGTCTCCCTCTTTTATTTTGGACTGGACTAGGTTGGGCCCTGGAGGTTGTTTTCAACCTCTAGCCAAGTCGTCTTGACCCTTTTTGTAAGCAAGTCAAGTCCGACGGACCCATCGGACCCAAAAAACTTCTCTTCTCTATATATCCTCTGTCCGACGTCCACATTTCAAGTATTTTATATCGTTTTCTTTGTTTTTTTGTCCTCTATACAATGGGATAGGTTTTGAGGTCCAAAAACTTAATTTTAAGCAAACCCAAAGCAAAAATATAGAACGGTCAAAAAAACTATCCAAAAAGAAAGTGTCATGGAGGCAGAGAAGAATCTAGCATCTCTAATCATAAATATAAGATACAGAACTATGATACTGAAAGTAAAATGAAAGATTTGCATAATATTGTGAAGCAAATCTCATAACCGAACCTTTACTCATGGAGATAAGCATATGAAGCAGTAGAAAAACATACATGGATCACACAATAATGGGTTTTGGGCATACCTGGAGTGTTTCACGCCTTCAGATAGCCATTATGGTATTGAACTCGGATCTGGAGAACAGGAGATACACTCTGGAGGAAGAAAAAGAGAGAACTAGAGGAAGGAGACGCAAGGACCGAAAAGAAGTATGGCCAACTGATCCCTTCAGTTTGTTTCTTAAGTTTACGTTGAAACTGAAAAATTGCCTCCCTTTTGAATTGATTCCCACAGTTATTTAACCGTTCTAAAACAAAAGGGGCAAATTACAGTACTCGACCCGAATGTTTTCTTAATTATATCAGAACCCCAAAGTTAATGGGTTTGGGTCTAATCCACTAAGGGTGGACTGACCCATTTTCTTACAGTGGTAAAGCGATTGCCCGTTGGTTATGAGCAACTCACTGTGGGCTAAAGCCTAGATGGACCGATTAGGCATGGAAATAGGCCGAGCCAAGCCAGGCTTTGGTGAAATAGGCCTGAGCCTATAATGATAACCTAAAACCTAAGCCTGAATGTGGGCTTTTTTTAAGGCTCAAGCCTAAGTCTTTCAAAGGTCTGATTAAGCCTGAAACCTTTTTAAATGCCTACTTATAATGTAGGCCTCTAGAAAAATCTCATGTTGTGGGCCTTAAAGTCCATAAATAGGCTTTGAGCCTACCAAAGCCAAATGTCCGTAGGCTTTTGGGAGGCTTCAAAGTCTATATATTTACAAATTGTATGTTTTAAATAGGCTTAAAGCCTACTTAAAATCTATGTATAATTAAAATAAAATATGATTTTTGTTACAAACAAATAATACTATTAGAATTTAACATGGATAATACAATATATTAAAACATTACAAAATAGTAGCATGAGCATGAAACAGAAATTGAATAACACAATAATATCAATATTAGGATCTCATCTTGTGCTTAAAACCTACACATAATTAAAATAAAACCTAATTTTTAATACAAAAAATCATCTCGCTGGAATTCAATACTAATAACGCAATGTATCAAAATATTATGAGATAACAGTATGACCATGAAATGAAAATTAAACAAATAACATCAACATCAAGGTCTCAATATAATATCCTCTTGTTTAGATGGCTCCTGCATAATAAGCAAATTAATTTAAATTAAATAATTAGTACAACACAAAATCCAACTAACATGATATAAAATAAAAATAAATTATGTAACATTATATTCATGTCTTTCATTTCCTTTTCAACCCATATTTGTGACGAAGCCAGTCCCCTCCACATAAAAGAATTTTAATGGATTCTTCATTCAGTCTAGCATGATATTCATCAATCACTTTTCCCCCAGCACTAAATGTGGACTTCAATGCTACAGTTGAGATAGGGACAGCTAATATATCAGTTGCCATCCTGGATAAAACTTTAAATTTTGTTCTATTGTTCTTCCACCACTCTAAGGCACAAAATGATGAAGAATCAGAAGAAGGAATGTAAGGATCATCAGCAAGATAAGTTTCCAATTTTGATTTTATAGGAGGAACCGAATGCCTTTGATGAATCATGTTCAACATTTGTTGCATTCCTTTATCTTTTTGTTGTACAGTAGTATCTGTCAAGGCAATGCCATCAATATTCACTTCACCAGATGTAGAAGATGACTCTTTCTTACACAATTCCATATACTCAAGATATAACTCCTCTAATGCCTTTTTTACTTTTTCCACATTCTGTGTAGCCTCACTTTCTAGTTTATATATTAGGGGGAAACTTATCTCAATAGCATCAAATTTGATTCTTGGGTCCAAAATACTTGCAATAACCATCAACAAATTGCATTCATCCCAATACTTGTCAAATTTTTCTTTCATAGGTATTGCCATCTCATTCATGAACAAGTCAGGAGAATCTGTTGCCTCATCAATCACTCGTTTCACCCTATGAACCTCAGCAAGATAAAAATTAGCAGTAGGGTATTCACTACCTGAAATGACATGAGTGGTATCATTGAAAACTTTTAACAGGTGAAAAACCTTCTCAATCTTTTCCCAATACTCAGGATCTGGTGCATAAGTATAATATGCTCTTTTTCATTGTAGGCTGAAAAGGCATGCTTGAATTTCATTGTTGTTGTCAACATCAAGAATGTAGAGTTCCACCTTATAGGATAATCAAGAATGAGTTTTCTTTCTTTCAAACCCTTTAACTCTACAACTTCACAAAAAGATTTTAGCTTTGCATATGAAGCATTTATGAATTTGACACTTTCAAGAACTTTATAAATAATATCTTTAATGGTATTTAGGCCATCTTGCACCAACAAATTTAAAATATATGCACAACATCTAACATGAAATAGTTATCCATCCAAAACTAACTTATTGCTTAATGACAAATTTTCCTTCAAATTTCTCAAGCAAGAATCATTATAACTGGCATTATCAACAGAAACTGAGAATATTTTATTCTCAATACCCCATGATCTCAAACATTTAAAAATTGCATTTGCTATATCTACTCTTCATCTCGGAGTAGGCACTTTGATAAAACTCAAAACTCTCTTTTGAAGATTATGCAAAGCATCAACAAAGTGACCAGTAACAACTATGTATTCAGCTACTTGGTGACTTGACTTCCACATGTCTGTTGTAATACTAACCTTGCTCACATTCTTCTATTTTTCAAAATATTCTTTTCAGCCTCATACAATTTGAGACAATCACTTCATGTTGTCTTACGACTGACTTTTCTAAACTTTGGATTTGTATATTCAAAAGCCATGACAGCTGTAACAAAAATTTCTCTCATCTTTTCATTAGAGTATTTACTACCAGGAATAATAAAAGGATTAATTCCTGATTCACTTGATTGGCGAAATGATATGGTGATTTGCTTATTTTGTCGAGAGACAAACAGCTTTCGTTGCAAGCATATTTCTAAATGCCTCTTGAGATTACTAGTATTAGCTCCCCTTCTACTAGTAGCTAGCTTTTTCTTTACAGTACAAGCACATTGCTTTCTTGACTCCATCTGCAAGTTGAACTTCTTCAAAATCTTTCCATACTTCTGAAGTTTTTCTCCACTTCTTAGCGATGATAGATGTTTCTTTACCCGCAGTTGCTACTTGTTGAGAGGTAATATTGTTATTTTCTATTGCATTACTTGAAGGAGATGTAACATGTCTGCTAATTTGTGGTTCAGATTGGGCACTTTGAGGTTGAAGAGGAGTGGATTCAATTGTATTGTTGCCGCTATCCATTTCAAGAACTTATCCTATATAAAAATAATAAAAATACCATATTCCAACAAAATAAACAAATAAATAAAAGAAATAATCAAAACAAAAAAAATAAAAAATCATATTCATGCTTTATTTCTCATCTAAAGAGGCTTATTATTACCAAGCTTGGTATAATAGTTATAAAAGCATGAAAAATAATCTGTTTGTAAACTAGTACCATTTCAAGTGTTCTGCTAAGAAATAAGAAGCTTTATTGTTGCCACTCTCTATATCAAGAAAAAGTGTTCTATTTTTGGGGAAAAAAGTTCCAACGGGTACTCTACTACTCTTCAATCAAATAAAATAATCAAAACATAAATAACTTCTAAATAATATAAGTAAAAATAGAAGAACAAACTAACGTGTGCTAATATAAGAGAACTTTGAAAAAGCAACTCTAAGAGGAGTAGGGGACCACTTTCAATTGTTTGGTTTGTCATCATTCAAATAAAATAATCAACAAAATAAACAAGTTTCAAATAAAGCAAACCAAATCGTAGGGGACCACTTTCTACTTTTTGCTTTCTCTAATAGGTTTGTCTCTATTCATCACCATATATTATATATTCAAAACATGCAGAATGAAGCTTTGATAAAGAGACTTGGAATGCTTACTAAAAAAATATAAAAGTTACTTAAAGTACAAGTGTTACCTATCACAGTGGAGAGAGCAAATAATAGTTAGTGATAGACTGATGATGACTAGTTGAGAAAATGGCAGAAAGTATTTGCAAGATAGATTGAACAAAGCAACGGAGCACGAAGCAATAGATCGACGACTAGGTTTCCAAATTAGGTTGAATTTTCATAGAAAGGAGTCATCAAAATTCCAATGGACAACGTTATTATTGTAATTCACTAATTATAGTTATATCTATACATTAGAAAATAAGAATAAAAAAATAAATATTGTATATATATCAAGGACCAAAAAACTGGACCAGGAACTAAAGTAGTCAAGGCAGTGGGTTAAGAGTCACTGGTCGGACCCTAGTCAAACCAAGGTCAGACTGGTCACAATAAAATAATAAAATTTAATTCACAACATTAAAATGGAACAACATTCATAAGTAATAATCACTGAAGGAAATATAAGAACCTACAAAAGTATTTTAAATGTTTAATTATACAAAATGAACATTAACAAAATACATATCTTCATCAATATGGAAAATCAAAATCATCATTAAGATCATTGGCAGCATAACCTAAAGGAATCAAAAGTAGTAAAATCTGCATAATGTAAGCTCACAGTATAATTAAAATTATAATGCAGAACAATAGCTTCTCCTCTGTACAAAATTAATCTAAAGGATCAAGTCAATCAACAACTATATTATTTGATTTACTTCAGCAACAACACTCTTGATTTATTTCAACAACAACAATCTTAATTTATTTGATTATTTCAACAACAACACTATCCTCTCTTCTCAAATCTGAAATCTCACGACAGCACATAGAGAAGCAGCTCTTTGATCTTAAAAAAAAACAACCCAGCTAAAAAGGAAAGGTGTTGAGCTTACCCACAAGGCTACAACTCAATACCCTGAACCGAAGGTGAACAGTGAAGGCGAAGTAGAGCTGGAAGGTGAACGACGAAGGCGAAGCAAAGTTGCAAAGGTGAACGGCAAAGGCAAAACAGAGCTACGAAGGTGAACGGTGAAGGCGAAGCAGAGCTACGAAGGTGAATAGTGAAGGCGAAGAAGATCGGTGAAGGCGAAGCAATGTGAGCAACGAACAGAGCCACGGAGAAGGGAGTGCCATTGTCAGTGATGAGGTGATGTTATGGATTTTGCTGGGGTTCACAGCAAGAGTCTTTGACTGGGAGAAAGTGGAAGAGATCTTAGTGATTGGGGGGGGAGGACCTCGATGTTCAGAAATAGGGGAGGAGGACCAAAAGCTTGAGATGGGGGCTTGAATGAGGGAGGAAGAAAGAGTTTTGTTTTTTAATGCTCAACGACGTCGTTTTGTGTGGCTAGGTAACCAAAAAAATTAAACCAGGTGAACCGCCCAACCGGTTTTTATCGGTTGGACTGGTTCCCCACCAGTTCACAGTAGGTCTGATTTTTTCTGCAAACCAGACCAGATTGGCAACCAGTTCATCGGTTTTCCAGTTGAACCAGTCGGTCCGGTCCGTTTTTTCCTCCTTGATGTATATCTCATACAAATATAATTATATTTTTTTATGCCTAAATAGGCCAGGCCTGAAGGCTTACAAAGCCAGGCTTTAACAAAATAAGCCTGACCTATTCACACAATGAGTCCTTTAAATAGGCCTTGGCCTAGCCTTTTTAATAAACAGGCTAGGCCTTAACTAGGCCAGGCTGTAGGCCCCCTAATAGGGGCCTGGCATATTTTTACTCCTAGGACCGATCATAAAAAGATCATCTTTTGGTGGGCTTAAATTTAGCCAGCCACCCCACTAAGTGATGGGTTGGCCGATTGGCCATCTAATCTCCATGTTTTTTTATTTTTATTTTTTTTGCATTTTTACATGTATATTTTTAATTTTTAAATTAAATTACAAACTTTTATGGACTAACTTTTTTTTTTATGTTTTCATATAATTATATAATTAAATTAATTTTAAAGCTTGAAATATAAACATATAATTCATTTTTAATAGTTATTTCATTCGTATAAAAATGTTAAATCAATAAGAAAAATAAGAAATCAAATTTAGAATCAACAAAATACAAATTTATATATAAATTGAGTGAAAATAATAAAAAATTTTCCCATTAAAATGAAAATAAAAATTAAAAAATAATTTTAAAAAAGTGCTCTAGCCCATAGTAAGATGTGAGTTGGCAGGTGTGGGTTGAGAATGATCGCATCCAAAACGGTCCTTATTTTTTTCAATCCAAGCACCCACCTTTTGGAGGTTGTGACAAGTTCAACCTATATTACCAGTTCTTAATTTATATAGGTGTTGCCATATTATTAAAGAAGGTTATATATAGAGTGACAAAGTCCAAGTTGACTAGAATGGCAAAATAGACATGAATCTTCTAGTTCTTATTCATGTGAACTGTGGAAGCAAGTCTGAAAACTAAAGAGTCCCTGCAAAGTTAAAATCCTTGTATGGAGAGTTTTATCAAAGGCTTTGCCAAAATTGGTGAACTTGCCAAAAATTTTTTTGCAACGTGGCAGAATTATGTTAATTCTGCTAAAGGAATGCTGAAATTGTTCATCAATTACTTTAGGTGGTTTTTTCTCTTGCGCTCTTGATGAATCACATGTTTCTAATCTTAAATCTTGGCTGTCTTGGAACTTACTTGATGCTGGTTTATCTTCTTAGTATAAACCTTTGTTCAAAAGTGAAATGCCAAATGGATTCCTCCATTAGGTATTGCCTGTTAAAATTAATATTGATTGTGCGTTTTCTCAAGGTGATGGGTTGAGAGCTACTTTCTTTGTGTGGGGTATGTTAACATATGGCTTTTGGAAGGACAAACAAAATTAGTCAGTTCAACTTTTTATAGCTAAGTGCATTTTGCAATGTTTGGTGCCTTTATATATACACAACAGAACCACCTAAATGAAGTTATTTTTTAGTTTAATTATCTTGTCCTTGTTTCTACCTCCAATACTTAATATAAGAGCTAGTTGGACATTTAATATGGTCCTAAATATAATACCCTAATTTATTTTGTCTCTCGTATAAATCTTTTTTTTTCAAAGTAGTCCTTGTAGTAGTTACACATGTTAAATGTTCCATCAAATAGTAGTTTTAGTTAATACATATAATTAGCAAAGATATTTTGGGGAAGATAACAACTATTTGTCACATAATTAACAAAAACATTTTAGAAAAGAAATAACTTATTTATTATAAATAGTGTAAGTAGTTTCTTTAATATTGACAAATTAATTACCTAACTCTTTTATTAACAATAGGAGGTAATAAGTCATAAATAATAGGGAAAGTTTTATTAAAGGACTGCTATAGCAACATAATTTTCATTTACCCCTCAAACAATTCTGAAACTTCACTATAAACTCTTGGAGTCAAAATGAAACTAAATTGAGAAGCAAAAAGACTAGGTTACCCTTAGATTCTGTTTAGTACAAAGCATTGAAAATGAAAGATAGGGATTGAGATTGTAATTGAGAAAGGTCATTAAAATAGTATTTAGCATGAGTAATTGCTTATTACATAGGATTAGCCAAACCCATAAAGGTAGGATTGGCGAATACCACTTTCCCCCATGGTATTCCCTAATCCTATATATATTTGTTTGGCTAATCCCATATAACAAGCAATCTCTTATGATAATCACTCTTTTAATATTTTTTTAATCCCAATCCCAATCCTTATCTCTAATTTTCAATGCTTCCTACCAAATAGGACCTTAATGTTAGAAAAAGAAAAGAAAACAGTTTGCTAGGGCTTTACTTTCACAATCTGATGACAGAATCCAAACTTTAGCTCTATCATCGACGCTGCTCTCACAAGCTGGTAACTAGCGTTCCCCTACGGCTGTCATCAACATTCTCTTAAGATTCTCCATAGACTTAGAGTGTGTTTGGGATCGCGTTAGAAGGCTCCAAACTGACTTATTTCATTCTAAAAGCCACTTTAGACACTTTTGTTCTATTTGGCACAGCGATAGTTTACAAGTTACTTTATTCCCCATCGCAAGATAGAGTAGAAGTTACTTTTTGTTGTGTTTTGTATAGAGCGTCACGATAGAGCATCATTTGACATTTTCACCTACTGTCATTACTGTCTTTCTTTCTTTTTTTTCCTGATTTATACATATTGTTTTGGGAAATATTTGGAAAAAGATAGCCTGGAGAGAGAGAATTAAAAGCTGTCATTTTATTCAATAAAAAAATAAAGGGAGAATCCTAAAAACAAATTGGTGAATTTCAAAAATTCCAAATAAGGAATTACTACAAATATGTGTTGTCATTTACTTTTTGAGTATAGTCATTTCCTTTACGAGTGTGGTAACCAATACTGCTTTAGA